TTAACATCATAACAGAGTGATTTTTGCAGGTAGCCAGCTGGCCATGGCCTCTTCACGAATACAGTTTTTCCAACTTGGTCTCTTTAAGATATGTGGACTTCAACTCCCAGAATTCCGCAGCCAGCATCTGGGAGTTGACATCCACACATCTTAAAATGGCCAAGTTTGAAAAACACTGTTTTAGTCCTTCCTTGTCCGCTTACTTTTCTCCTACCCCAACCATACCCCGACAGCAGCCACTGAGCACACTCAGTGTTGACTTAGCTGTTTTGACAGACCCTAGGCAAAACAGCCTCTTTCAGGTCTTGCTTCAAGCTTCCCAGAAGCATCTGGTAGATCAGTGTGGGAAAACAGGCAGCTGGACTGGAGAGACCTTTAGCCTGATCCCTCAGAGTTCTTATGTCCCTCTGATCCAGCAAAACTATTCTATCCAAGGTTCACAGACCAAAGAGACCCGAGACCTAGCTTGCACCAAACTCTGTCTGGGTCACCAGCAAACCCTTTGCTAAAGCGCATAGACTTGGATACACCACGTGGAATAAACTGAGCCCAGTTGTACAAAGCCTATGAAGCAAACCAGGGAATGCTTTTATTTTTTTCCAGTGTCAAGTTTGAGCTAGTCTGTTTCACCTTTCCCAAAAAGACGGAGACAGAAAAGATCCTCTGCTCTGGCACTCCCAGGGGAGAAGAATCTGTTGGCATGGTGACAGCCGGTCCTGGCCTAGCTCCCTTTTAACTAGCAGGAATAAGAATGTTTTGTTCTCATTAAGGAAAAAGAGAGCTGCATTCCTGGTTGGTGAGTAATGTCTCTGCCCCAGCACTAATCTCACAGAAAGCCGTGGCAGCCTGGAACCATTTCCAGTTTAGCCCACTCAACCACTTCTGCCTGAGCCTCTCAAGAACCTCTTTTAGAGGACACTTCCCCAGGACGGGCTAATACTCTCCCACAGCGCCCCAACCAATTTCCCAAACAGAAAAAGTGATTTGCTCCAAGTGCCTCAGGGGGAAATGCTGGGCGGGTAGTAGATGGGTGCAGCTCATCTTGGGGTAGGCTGTCAACCCATCAAAACTCATCCTTTCCATCAGGTCTCATTCTGTTGTTGCTCACGATGGAATGATGAACCAGTAGATACCAAACCTTCTAACTCCAGGAAAAGCTTTTATTACAGCCTACACCCTGGAGAGTGCCACAGCCTTCTTCAACCTGGATCCCTTCCAGATCCCTTCCACAGCCTTCTTCAACCTGGATCCCTTCCAGATGTGTAAACCATCTCTCAGGTTCCCTGGCCAGCATGGCCATTGCTGAAATCCTTGTATCTGGAGGCACCTTGGTTGGAAAGACCAGACTTCCACAAACTTTGGCATGCTGCAAAGGATTCTGGGAGCACGAATTGTGATGCCCTCTCATGTCCTGCAGAACACCAGCCAGGCTAGTAAGTTATCTGGAATGACCTGAGAAATCAGCCTAGAACAGGGTTCCTCAACCTTGACAACTTTAAGATGGGTGGACTTCAACTTCCAGAATTCTGGGAGTTGAAGTCCACCCGTCTTAAAGTTGCCACGGTTGAAGAACCCTGGCCTAGAATATACACAAACTTGCCTGTGTCTGACTTAGATTGGGGCAGAACATTTCAATGACAGCTTTTGGTTCAAAGGGAGGACCATCATAGGGTGTATAAAAAGAGAAGCAAAGTAACTACCTTTTGTTCACCCCTTTCAGTGCTGTTCCCAGTTCTGCAGAACAACTTCTGGGATAGCTGTGATGTGTATACTGCTAGGGAAGATAATACAGAAACTTTTTTGCAACCACTGATTTTCTCATAAAGGAGCCCCTACTTCAATTCCCAACAAACCTCATAGTTCAAAATTTATTGCTGCAAACCTTAATTTAGTTTTCAGGACAGCTGAATTATGTTCTACTGCCCTTTGCTTTGATCTAGTAAGTTCAGCACTTGCAAACTTGCAAAGTTTACCTTAACAATTATGCTGCAGAGCAAACACCAAATGAAGGCTCAGCTAAAAGGCCTGCATCATAGCATGACAAAATCATCATTATCACATTATATATGCCTGCAAAAATATTTATCGTGTGCTCCTGTTCTATTCCCAAGATAGGACCCCGCAACAGCTGTAACAGATTTCTTTACTGCATACTACAGCTATCTTGAAATTAAGGATAACTGTAATATGCAAATGTTGCCCATTAAATTTAACTATTAGGGCAAAGGAATTACAAGACTTCCCAAATAATTTTGGGAATTGCTTTTCCTAAAGAATTTTAGGATTTGTTTGGCAAATTTGCTGAAATTTTTCAGTTAAGAAGAATTTCTAGCAATCTTTCTCCAAAACCGACATCCATATCCACACAGAGAGAGCTGCATTCTCAGTAGTTTCTGTAAGAAGGAATAAATGCTGGTTTAATCATCATCCGTAAGGTACAAATGCTGCAAATTTAATTGCACTGCCTTGAACTAAACTGGCTACCTACCTCTGCAGCCCTGCAAAAAAAAAAAAGATGTTACCTAGTCAGGTCTGCAAGAAAACAATAACCAAGGACTCCACAGTTCAACCCTGAGCTACAGATATTCTCTTCTATTGGTACCAGGGAAGATTCCTTTAGTGGATTTTCTCTTGTTTTGATGCCAGCAAGGTCACGCCTCGCATATCCTGCAAGCAAAGAATCACTACTTTTATCATGTGGATTCTCTGGCAGGCAGCAGATGGACCCTCAGAGCACAAGATCTGTGATATGAGCAATTAGCCCAAATGCCAGGAGGAGATCGTTCCCTAACTGACAACATGGACAAGTTATTTCCAACTGAGAAGGAAACCGAGTTCCAATAGCCCAGGCAGGCATTTCACACCCTGGCAGCCAGCTTGCTCTCCGCCTCTGGGTAGGAAGAACCTTTCTCACACAACCCCTCGCTGAAAACAGGCAGCTGAATGAACAATGATGCAAACCAACCTTGGCTAACAAGCCCTGCCTAGTGTCCATTAGCTCAAATTTCTCCCAGTTCAGTGAGCAAAGCTGATGAGGCTACAGGACTGGTTTCCACC